CAAGCTCTATTCGTCTTCTTTTGATCTCATAGCCAATCGTAGAGCTCTTTTGCCTTCAAATCTTAACCGTGAGCCTCACAGTGACCTCCAAAGCTCTCAAATCAATCTCGAATGCTTCCCAAATCGTCCCGATTGCTTCTCAAACGCCGATGTCGGGCTCAAATTCCTCGATTTTGACTCCAAACGACACAAAACTCGAACCAACGCCCGGTAAATATAATTTGAGCTAAAATTGAGACTTGCAACGCCTTAAAGCTAAGAAAACCAACAAAATCCGATCCCACCACACATCAAATGCGTGTCTAAATATGGACTTATCACCCTACCCCCACCCGTTACCCCTTCCTTACCCGGGCCCTAACCTTTTACCCCTTACCACCTTCCCCCACCTCGACCCCCCAATGTACCCCTTACCCTACCCTGACTACCCTTTACCTCATATCATTTGCCCTTACCTTGACCCCACCCCGACCCCACCCCTACGAGTAGGGTAGGTGTTAGGGGTATGAGGGTTGGTTGTAGGGGAGTAGGGGTAGAGGGCAGGGTCGGGGTAGGGGTAGGGGTCAAGGGTGTGGAATTACGTTGGGGTTACGCGGTACAATAGGTATACGTACGAGGTGATCCCACATATTATATTATATACTTGTCTTAATGAATGTTTGTGTGTCTATATATGTATAGAGTTATTTTGGACATTATAATGTTAAACGGTGATTTAAATCTGGAATTTTATCAATTCAGGACCCGAAAGATAGACGAATTATCAATCTGGGACCTGAAAGATGAAATGTATCAATATAAGACCCAAATGATGGAAAACTATCAATCTAGGACCCAACATTTCATAGGTTTTGATGATTTTTTCTTCAAAAAAGTTTATTAGTTTAACAAAACTAAATATTATTTAAATTTTTTAAAATAAAAAATAATAATAAATTTATGAAAACTTAGGTCCTAAATTGATAGTTTTCAATCATTTGAGTCCTAGATTAATAGTTTTCCATCATTCGGGTCCTATACCGATACATTTCATCTTTCAGGTTCTGGATTGATAATTCGTCTATCTTTCGGGTCCTGAATTGATATGATTCTAAATCCTTTGAAGTAAACATGATCTTACAACACTGCTTATTTTATGTGTCGCTTATCAACGCTAGTCTTAATAAGCACCGTTTAGTAACTGGTGAAGTAAACGTGTCCTTAAATGTCTATTACCACCCTTCCTGAATTGCACCTGTAATAGCTGCTCTGACGTCCATCTACTACGAGGACCAGACTCCCCACCTAAGTTTGCTTTTGCCTTTTGTAGAATACTATTACGATTTAACTCACACAACACGAAGAACAATAAGGAAGAACACACGAAATTTGGTAACCCAGTTCGCCACAAAGGACTACGTCTAGGAGAGCTTACAAGTCAGGATATTGCTATTATTTTTTGAATCAATGATTACAAGAGAGAGCTTGTATTTATAGAGAGTAAAACCTAACCCCAGCACTAATAGGCCGGACGCGCGGCCCAACCAGTACAAAACTCGCGGCCCATATACAAAAGGACCCAAAAAATTTCGGGAGGGGGCTACCGCCCCCGTCCAACTCCTCGTCGAGTTGGATCAACGGAATGAACTTGGTTATACAGTCTCTAACACCTTACAAATACTAGAATTACCTTCATCATCTCTTGCCACCTAACCTCATGCACAAACCTCATGTCTCATCTATTGCTCCATTAATGTTGACTTTTTACCTCCCTAGAATCCTAGATCATGGTTTCTACCCCTTCCCTACCCTCTTCACTTTGCCGTATGCCCTTCACAAAGATTACTTTAACGTCCTCCAACCTTTCCATGTACCATGTGCAAAACTCAAAATACATATATTGTGTATACATGAGTATTAACATAAAATTATTTAAGCATACATTTAAGGTAGTATGTCATGTGTCACAAATTTCAAAAAACCGTTATTTTTATTTCTTTCCAATCAATACATTAAATTTGAAATTTAGTACTACATCTACCTGCTAGGTTTTACACATTTTCTTTTTGGTCATCACACTATGATCCTCCTATATCAAATTTAGTGATGGTTGTGTGGTTTTAGATTGTTTTTATTTTATTCTTAATTTATAAGTTCATTTTAATCATTTAAACTCATTTTACTTAATTATTGCATGCATCAATAGTGTTTGAGAAAAAAGTGATTTTGAAAAGTAAAAGTGGATAGTGTTTGGTAAAATAAGTGCTTTTTGTGTAATAGAAAAAGTAAAAGCACTTTTGACGCAGAAGCCGAGAAAAATAAAAGTTGTAGTGTTTGGGAAAATAAGTGCTTTTTTAAAGTCAAAAGCTGAGAAGTGCTTTTTTAAAAGCAGTTGCAAACCAACCCTTACATTGGAAGGAGGGGAAAGGTGCCCCCAATAAAGAGCCACTTACCTCATAGAATACATAATGAAAAATGTATATGAATAAGTAAATCAAATGTTTGCCCCCAATAACCTTAGGTGATAACTCCGGTACCTTTCTAAAATATGGGGTACTGTACCTATCATTCATTTGATCGATTGGACCACATCACTTTATCATTTTTAATTTAGATTTAAATAATTCAACTGCTACATTCTCATTGGTTCATGTGCACAAAGGTATGATACCTTATTGGTACCATAGAATCTAGTAGATGAATATTGGTGCTCCAAATGCATTTGTGAAAGTTCTTTGAAATAAAAGTAAACAGATTTTTGTAATTCCAAAATATGACTGAGTTTCTTTTCGAAATATATATATACTCCCTCCGTTTCTAAAAGAACCTCACACTTTCCTTTTTTGGATGTGCCAAAATAAAACCTTATTAGATTACTCTTCCCTTGAATATTGGTGCTCCAAATGCATACGCCGTATGCTTTCTCCACCTTTATTTTTGGGATAAGGTTATGGATTTTTGGGATAAGGTTATGGTAGATTGAATCTACCATAACCTTAAAAGAATCATTCTCTTGGTTTCCCCTTTTATATTAGTATATATATACTCCGTATATATATATTTCAAAAAGAAACTCAGTCATATTTTGGAATTACAAAAATCTGTTTACTTTTATTTCAAAGAACTTTCACAATTGTTCTAAATTTGTAATTAAGATAGTTTTCATCTTTTGATAGTGATTCATTATATCTTAATTTTTAATAGCATCTGATCTCTCTATAAAAATACGACATACACGCGAAGCCAATCATCAATTTTTATTATGCAAATTATTCTTCATTTTCTTTTTGTATATAAAGATATGACATTTGCACTAGTTACATAGTCACATAGAAATAAAGAATCATGCATCTTGCTAAATACGAAGTATTACAGAGGTCATAGATCAATTCGAGATTAATAATAAATGAAACTAATATGTTACTTTTTTCTTTTAAATATTATGCTTTTCAATAATTTGTTTTTTATTTTCCAATAATTATCTAGAATAGCATGCTACTTATGTTTTTTATGATTTGCTTACTACTTAAATAACATTTTTATCCTACTTTTGTAGGCTATCTTAACTATCGAAACAACATTTTATCTACATTTTGTTGAATGTGTGTCAAATTGAATTTACATATGATAAATTTAGATTGACTATATATCTAACAACACTTTCATCCTAATAACATGTGCAGTATTTTTCAAGCTAGTTAACTACCATTTTTTTTTATATAAGCTACTACTAGTATATAACGATATTAGATAAGTTAATTAGGATAAATATATTATTGGTATTATTACATAAAAATGCATTTAAAGTGCATACGCCGTTACTAGTTAAAAAACATAAAACTTTGGATTTTCGGCCTCTCAATGTTATGGCTCAATCCCTTCTTCACTTAGACTTTTGGAGATATGGGGAGTAGTCGAGTAGAAAGAAAGTGATCAAATTAAAGAGTGAATAACTTTGATTTGCACACTCTTACTCTTCCCTTGAATATTGGTGCTCCAAATGCATACGCCGTATGCTTTCTCCACCTTTATTTTTGGGATAAGGTTATGGATTTTTGGGATAATGTAACTGTTTTGACACTGTTTGGCACCGTTTGACACTGTTATGCACTGTTTTGACAAAAGTGGACTTGCTATTTAAGGAAAGGAGAACTTCTTTTTGGAACTGCTAAAAAACGAAAGTGAGAACTTCTTAGCAGGATGAAGGTAGTATTTCTTTAAAAAAATATACTCCGTAATAATTTTATTTCGAAATTCCCTATTTAGGGTAATTCCCTAGTATTTTAGATTTAATTTGTAGATCCGTCACTGACCCTTCGTGTACTCAACGGGTTGCATCACCCTTCGTGTACCACCTTACTCATGATCTAATAACTTCATAGTTCATACTCCCTCCGTCCCATTTTACATGTCTTACTTTCCTTTTTGAATTGTCCCAAAATAAGTGTCACATTTTCCCTTTTGAAAAGAAATACGGAGTATGTATTTCACAATATTTCACTTTATTATACTCAAATCTCAACCACAACTTTTACCTTTTCAACCACTTTATTAAAAATTGTGCCAAAATCAAAGATGACACATAAAATGGGACGGAGGTAGTACATTTTATGGTTAAAAAAAATCTTCATACATTTCGATCTCGACCGGGAGCGTCGACCCCAAAAAAGTAAAATGAAGATATTAATTAATTCATTTTTTTCGAGGAATTACTCAATTCAATTGTGATACTCTTTCTAATTCACATATACGAAGTGCTGGAGGATTAACCCAAATCATAAGGAGATGGATTCGTTTAATTGGAACTATTATTATATCTCAATTTTAATAGACAACAAGTTTTAATAAGTTCTAAGCTTTGCGACAAAATTATAAAAATAGTGCTGATTACCACACTAAAGTTTACTTACCATAATGGTGCAAAATTATAAAAATAGTGGTGAAAATAATTACCAGGCTTAACCATAATAGTAGCCCTGACATATATATATATATATATATATATATATATATATATATATATATATATATATAATACGGAGTAGAATAAATGTCATAATTACAATAGGAGTCCCTAATAATAAATAAATATAAAATATACTCTATTGCACCCCCTCAAGCTGTGCAGGGGAAACAATGCGCAGATTGTCACGAAGAAGAACAAACCGTTGAGGAGATAAACACTTAGTAAAAATATCTGCCTGCTGAGCCTGAGTAGGAACATATTTCACACGCAGATCTCCATGAGCCACTCGTTCACGAACAAAATGATAGTCTATATTAATATGCTTACTGCGAGCATGAGGAATCGGATTAACTGAGAGATATGATGCTGAAACATTGTCACAGTAAAGCAAAGTCGGGTCACAAACGGGAAAGCCCAACTCAAATAACACCGAGCGAACATGAATAGTATCTTGAACAGTAAATGCATGCAACGGCTCGATATTCAGCCTCAGTGGAAAATCTGGAAACAGTAGGCTGCTTCTTGGAACGCCAAGAAATCAGATTAGGCCCTAGGAAAATAACATAGCCTGAGGTAGAACGACCAGTGTCAGGGCAGCCAGCCCAGTCGGCGTCTGAATAAGAGATAAGAGCTGGACGAACACGAGAAGCCTGGAGGAGAAGTCCATGCGTGGAAGTGCCCTGTAGATACCTGAAAATACGCTTAACAACCAACATATGTGAAGTACAGAGAGGGCATGCATAAATTGAGAAACCAAGTGTACAACAAAAGTAATATTTGGTCTAGTCAAAGTTAAATACTGTAATGCACCTACCATACTCCTGTACTCCGTGGCATCTGCAAGAAGCTCTCCATCAGTAAAGGAGAGTTTGGTGCGACTCGGAAGAGGAGAGCGGATAGATTTCAACGTATGGAAGTGAAAACGAAGAAGTAGATCAAATATATACTTATGCTGGGAAAGAAATAACCCCAGAAGGAGTCCGAGTCGCATGAATGCCCAAAAAAATGCAAATCCCCCAAATCCTTCATGGCAAAACATTTAGCAAGAAGGGATAAAAAATGAGAGACTAGATTTGGGGAATTGCGTGTAACTATAATATCATCAACATACAGAAGAAGATAAATAATATCAGACTGACGTCGAAAAATAAATAAAGAATTATTTGACCGGCTGCACCCAAAACCATGAGAAAGGAGAAAGCTACTAAAACGATGAAACCGGGCACGAGGTGCCTGTTTAAGACCATAAATAGCTTTACGAAGTCGACACAAATGATGAGGGAACTGGGGATGAACGAAACCTGGTGGCTGACACATATATACCTCCTTCGTGAGATGACCATGAAGAAAAACATTTTTGACGTCTAGTTGACGTATGGGCCAACCAAACGACACTGCTAATGTAAGAACAAGCCGAATAGTAGTAGGTTTAACAACAGGGCTAAAAGTCTCAGTAAAATCAATACCTGCCTGCTGATTAAACCCCTGTGCAACCAAGCGAGCTTTATAATTATCAACAGACCCATCAGCCAGATATTTAGTCTTATAAATCCATTTAGACCTAACCACATTCTTATTGGCATCAAATGGAATTAAATCCCAAGTATGATTAGAGATAAGGGCATTAAATTCTTCTGCCATAGCAGCTCTCCACTCAAGATGTTTATTTGCAACAGAAAAATATGTGGGATCAGGTGTGTGAACAACTGTGCTTAAGGTAAAAATTGTTTTGGGTTTAAAAATTCTGGACTTGCATAGGACGAATATTCACAACGGGAGAAGGACTCTTAGTGACTGTGGAAGTAGGCTCATTCGAAGAAGAGACTGACTGTGGAGAGCCTGGGGGGCTGTCGGGTGAGCTGCAGGATGAAGAGGGGCCGGAGTTTGCGGTCTGGTGATGGATGGCAGAGGTTGGGCTGTGATCTGAGGCAGAAGCAGCAGAGCTGCTTTGTGCCTGCGGGGTATGGGGAGGACTGGCCGAAGGAAAAGATGGAGCAGAGATAGTCTTGTTTTGAAGTGTGCAGGCCGCAGATGTGGTACCAATAAGAAGAGGCTGGTCGTGGCTAGGAGAAAAAATTAAGGAGGCATGAGAAGAGGTTGTAGAAGAGGACATTGTGGAACTGGCAAGAACATAATATGGAAAAATATTTTCTAAAAATCTAGACACTTCTAATATAGACACGACCAGACATAGGATCAAAACAATGGTACTTTTTATATTCAGGGGCATAGCCCAAGAAAATGCATTGAACAGACCTCGGAGTCAACTTATTTGCAGAAGAAGCGGTAAAATTGGGAAAACATGCACAACAAAAAACACGAAAAACAGACAAATCAGGTTTCCTATGGAAAAGTTTTTCAAAAGGAGACAAACCATGTAGAGTAGGAGAGGGTATCCGATTAATGATAAAAGTAGCAGTAAGCACGGCATCTACCCAAAAAATAGCCGGTAAACTAGTAGTAATAATCATAGTACGAGCTAATTCAAGTAAATGTCGATGCTTACGCTCAGCAACGCCATTTTGTTGAGGAGTCTCAGGACAAGATTTTTGAAAAATAATTCCATTATCAGTGAAAATTTTTCGCATACTAAAATTGTCAAATTCACCCCCTCCATCACTCTGAAAAATCTTGATTTTGCGGTCAAGTAAATTTTCAATCATTAATTTAAAATGATGAAAATGAGTAGTAACCTCAAACTTACGCCGCATAGGATAAACCCAAGTAAAGCGCGAAAAATCATCGACAAAACAAACATAATATTTAAAACCAAAATTAGATACCACGAGAGATTGCCATACATCAGAATGAATTAAATATAAGGCACAAGGACTAGGGATGGCAACGGGGCGGGTTTGGGGCGGGGGTTGGCTCCCCCATCCCCCGCCCCATGTCTAAAAAGTTTCCCCCATCCCCACCCCATCCCCGCTACTCCCAGACCCGCCCCATCCCCGCCCCACCTCGGTGTCCCCCACGGGTGCCCACAGGTGCCCCCATATAGATTTTATTTACTCCATTCGTCCTATTTAAAGGCTCTCACGCGCACGGTTTACAGTGTTTGACTAACCATAAAGTTCATTGATCCCTGTCATTAGTAGAATTATTTTTAGTGAATAAAATTTAGTAATTTACATATTCAGAAACTACATTAAAAGTTCTATAATACCTGATAAAAAATTACATTTGATAAAAGTTATATATATAAAGTAAAGATTAAGAACAATGCACGTTGACCGGAGAATGTGGACGGGAACCTTTAAATGGGATGGAGAGAGTATCTTATTTGCATATTTTTTAACCCATTTTAAAGATAAATATAAATATATACTAGTATATATCACTAAAAGAAGTAAGCTAGATAATATCGTGACATCGTGCTTGATAAAAGTTAATTCATTCAATTTTTAATAATTCTTTAATTTGAATAAGAAAAGTAAAAATATATATAAGTAAACATATTATCATCATGTATGTCGTTACAAATTTCTCATCAATTAGAATACAATTAATTATATACAGAGTATATCACACTTAAATATGCATATGTGTTCTATTTACTCATTTTCTCACTTTTAACACTCATATAACATTTATGATAAGTATTTTTATTTATTACGTATTATTATGATGATATAATATTTATTAATTCATTAGTCATGACTAATACACTGTTACACACATATACATTTATATATGTCTATATGTATATGCATGTGTTTGTTATATACCTCGTACTACATACTATATAATTTACTTAAATAAGGTTATAGATTATTTATATGTGTATGTATGTTTGTGTATATATATATATATATATATATATATATATATATATATATATATATATATATATATATATATATATATAGATTTCTGTTCAAATGAGAATATCATCTTAAGAGAGAAATGAGAATGATTCTACACCATTAGATCAAGATGTTTTTTCAGTTTTCTTATTCTAATACGGAGGGTTAAATTTGTGATTTTATTATCCTTTCCTTTTTATACATAGTCCTTGATTAATGCTTCCCCACAAATTTCTATTATTAATACACTTTCCTTTTAAAGTGTTTTGTGACTTCTTCGTTACCGTACCTTTTAGTTTTTTAATTGTCACTTCTATGAATCATTACTTGCCAAATCATTTTTTTTTACATTACTCGGTAAGAGTTTGTATTTTACAAAACAAATGGTATACGGATTATTTCAACGTGCCCAAATTTTTATGAACAAAAACAAGGTTAATCATAGTTTTTTATAAATAGGTGCCACATAAATATGAATCATAATATTTTCAAAAATCATGTTTTCACAAAATAAATGGTTTATTGCATCACTACTTCACATTAAGCTTGTGATGTTGTTTGTGTGCCATTTTGACAACACATGTGCATCGTGTATTATGTAGCATTTTAACAGAAAATGTGCATTACGAGCTAAATGTAATTGCAACGAACCATATCATATGCACTTTTAACAATAAAATAATGTAAATAAATTTGCTATAAACTAAATATGCACTTTAAATACTTCAAGTGTGCAAAGTATCGAAATCAATGTTGAACTTCGGGTACTTATATAAGATAAGATGCACATATACTTAATTAACTTCATAAAGTGTACCAATGAATTACACCATTTCAAAAAAAAGAACTTTGAAGAATGAAATATGGTATATTTAACCATTACTATAATTAACGTTGCAAAAAGTTTAAATAAAAGTGCATCTATGAAAATGTTTGAGTTAATTGCAATGCATTTAAATATAATGCACCTATATTCCTTTAATGATGCACATTTAATATATGACCTCGTTCCTAATTTTTTTTCAAGTAATGCAATATGTTAACAACAAATGTGCATCATACTTTTGAGTTAAAGTTAATGCACAAATTCATAAAAAAGATGCACATGACATGTGCATCGTTGCAAGTGCGCGTTAGCATATGTGTAAGCATCCTGGCAAGTGCACGTGAGCAATTTTAAAATCTTTTATTTTGATCATGTGCAAACTTCTGGATTCCAAAGTGTAATTTGAATCGAATAAAAGTGCACCTACGCGGTTAACAAATTTCAAGTGAATATTTTAAATGTATATATATGTGAAACGTGAATTGAAATATCAGCCATCATGATAAAGTAATAATCTCAAATTTTAGAAAGTATTGCACTCAATGATTTTAAATGATCTTTGTACCCACTCTTATGATCTTTGTACCCACTCTTATACCCACATTTATACCCACCTATGTTTGTGAAGGTATTTTTTTGTCCGTGAATCCCGATTCACAGACAATATTTTGCACAAACAAAATATTGTCTGTGAAACGGGTTCACAGACAAAAAAAAACCTCCACAAACATGGTGGGTATAAGGTGGGTATAAAAGTGGGTACATCAAGCATCGTTGTTTTAAATATATGGAAACATGAACGGTGATGTCTTATTCTTCCAATTAAATGCTAATGAGCTTTACACTTTTGCCCTCCGCATTAAATCGTTGATCACTATCATAATAATTGACATTCAAAGTTCAATCTATTTACCAATCTACCACACTAATTTACATTCAATCCGAACCTTTGATCTCACATATTTAAAGGTTAGATTTTATTCTCATTTCTCTCCTAAGACACTATTCTTACTGGAACCGCACCCTATATATATATAGTCCCGTTCCTATCAGGAGCTCCTGAAGAGAAGCCCCGTGCGGACAAGCCCATCAGAGGGTCATCCCGGTGGAATTTTTTGATGAAATTTTTTGAGCACGTTCCTCATCAAGTCTAGTTTGTCCATACCAAATTTCAGATCAAAATTCGATCGGGAAGGCAGTCAAATAAATCCTGGAAACATACTGCACTTTATATGTGCGCAGAATGAGCCATAGTTTTCCAGGATTTATTTGACTGCCTTCCCGATCGCATTTTGAGCTGAAATTTAATATGGAGGAACTAGACTTGATGAGGAACATGCTCAAAAAATTTCATCAAAAAATTCCACCGGGAAGACCCTCTGATGGGCTTGTCCGCACGGGGCTTCTCTTGAGGAGTTCCTGATGTGAACTGCCCTCTATATATATATATATATATATATATATATATATGTGTGTGTGTGTGTGTGTGTGTGTGTGTGTGTGTGTGTGTGTGCGTGGGATGGACGCCAAACGCCTACTTGTGCTCGGTGCAACCCTTGGTTGCGATCTGGGCATACGAGTAGTTGTGCATGGCTCTTGGATTTGGTATAAGCACGGGGCATTGGAATTCATCTTCTTCTTTCCCCGTGTGCCAATGTGGCACGCTAGTCCTACGCATGACTGCTTTGTTGCATTGAGTGTTCTTTCGTCGCTCGTGCTCGGGGCATCATTTAGGAATGTTACCTGGTTGATCCTGCCAGTAGTCATATGCTTGTCTCAAAGATTAAGCCATGCATGTGTAAGTATGAACTAATTTAGACTGTGAAACTGCGAATGGCTCATTAAATCAGTTATAGTTTGTTTGATGGTAAGGAGTCACATGCGCTGAGGCACCTGAATCAGAATACCAAACTATCTCAGAAGCATCAGGGGCCTGAGCAACAAGAGCAGGTGCAGCCGGTTGAACAAATCTAGAGGGACAAGTGGAAGCGGGATGACCTGGGGCATAACAAATTTGACAAATAACCGGAGGAGGTACTGAGTTTCCCTCACCTGGTGCTGCTGCTGACCACCTGCGGGTTGCTGCATTCCACCATGCGGCAGTTGGCCACCGCCCTGCGGGGGCTGTCCTCCCGGTTGTGCCTGACCCGCAAAAGCTTGAGCTGGATGTAACTCCTCTTGAGCATTCATATACTGCAAACTGCGCTCCTTTTCAATTGGGTTGGTGCGAAGATTTTCAAAGGTAAAACTATCCGGAAATAGATCCACGGACGTGATAAGAGACTCATAATCGCGACCAAGACCAAGCAAAATATACTGAAATAACTCTCTGCGAGACACCGAAGCATTAATGGCAGCAAGACGATCAGCAATGTCCTTAATGTCACGAAGATAATGTTCCATGGACTGATTCGAACGCTTCTTAGAGTGTGTAAGTTGCCGTTTCAGTTCCATGGAACAAGCAAGGCTAGCAGACATAAAATGATATTC